AAAAAAAAAAAAAAAAAAAAGCAAAAAAGAATTTGGACTTGAAAGGTTGGGCTACAGAGATGAGTGCCTTGGCTTATGTAGCTGAGGGATTCAGTGCTGACTGGTTGCAGGTATGTTTGGGGCAGTGCTTCCAGGCCTGAGTTTGTCTCTTCTGCTTGCCTCCTTGTTGGGTGTATTCTCAGTCCGACTCCCCTGTGTGAGCTCTGTAACCCCCAGGAAAGAGTGCCACTGTCCCAAGGCCTGGAGTTACTGCTAACGGGCTTGGCTTGAGTCCTCTGCCAATTCCTGACACTCTGAACACCAGGGATATGATATCTGGTCTACAGGAACGCATGTCCAGACAGACAAGTGATTGATGGAGGAATGATTTCCCACCAAAGAAAGAGAAAGGATTTGTTAGTTTTTTTTTTTTTAAAAAAAAGGGAGAATGGATTCTGGGCTGACTGAAGTGTAGGTGCCCACTCCACTGTCCATGTTGGTAGCTACACATAAACCAGAAGTAAGGTCATTTCTGATAGAGATACATGCTATGAAGAAAATAATTTTTTTAACTAATTTTAAAGAGCAAAACAGGCCAGTCTCCCCATTTTCCCAGGATACCTCAGGATGAGTGTAAGAAAAAGCTTTTTGTGGATGATTTGGTGTTAAAATGAAACAGAAGATTATGGGCTCTGAAAAAGGGACCCCTTGTAGGATCAGAAACCCTACTTAGTTATCCGAAATTGAATATTGTTAAATTCTAAAAGTTTATTGGTGATGGTTATTGGTTGTTACAATTAATAACTATTGACAGTTGGTTTTTATTTGAAAATCAAAATCATATGCTGATGATTAAAATCCTTGCTTTTCTCTTTCATTTCGGTTGTTTTATCATTAACCACCACCTCAGTTTAAAAGGAAGGAAACATGAATGAAGGTCAGTCACTTAACTAGCAAATCCAGTTCATGAATCTTTTAAGTCAAAATAATTAGGTACCTTGAAATTTCCTGTTTTAACTCTGTGTAACCAATTTGAGAGAGATTACTGCAATTTGAAAATATCTGTAATGTTGTTAAGTGCCGTCAAGTTAGTTCTGACTCATGGCGACGCTATATAACAGTTACCAAGGAGAGGCTGGTGGGTTTGAACTACCATCTTTGTGGTTAACAGTCCAGTGTTTATCCCATAGCACTAGAATTCCAAATACCTCTTACTGTTGGTTTCTATTCTTTTGTTGCATGAGCTGTAAATGAATGAACAGCCTAGAAGCCAGCTTAATTGGTCTCTTAAAGTGATTGACATTTGACAATTTATAATGATTGACATTTGACAAGCCTTACTTTCAAGTGGAAAGCAGTGAAGGTTCCCATGAGAAGCACACTCTTTTCAGTATAATTCATTTGGTTTATGAAAAGACATTGTAGTCTTTATTTTCACTCTGAAAAAAGAACTGCTCTCAAATGTAGAAGGACAGTATTTCCATGCTCATATGAAGGGCCTTCAGAAATTTCATAAAATACCACTACCTTTTAATTCCATTTTCCCATGAACTTTGTGACGCTTCCTCAGGTAGTAGAAACTCAGATTTTGGTGTTAATGTTACTTTCTTTCTTCTAGTATTTATAAATTTCATTGTTTTTTAAAATAATGTTAATTTTTGTTTTACTGTTGTTTTAGGAAATATATTTGCAGAATCTTTTTACTCCAGGACGATTCATAAATGCAGCATTATGTAAAGCTTTACAGGTCAGTAAGAAAATACTTAGGTTTTATTTAAGACTCTGATCATTTATTACTGTGTTGCATAATTAACATCTACTGCTAAATTTTTTAAGTCACATAGCTTCTTTAAATTGCTACTTAGGTTCGTGGATTTCAAATAGAGTCATTGCTCAGAGAGTTTGAAAGATAGCTGAGATGCTCCTAGTCCAATCTCCTTCAGGAGCAGAAATTCCTTCTGAGGCTGCTCTGGCAGTTACGCAGCCTCTGTAAGTGTCTGTCTCGGGTGCCAAGTTTCTCTCTGGCTCCTGTGTGAGTCCTTAAAGACCTTTCCATTATTGAAGTAAATCTAATGCTCACTTTTTTTGGTGATTTCTTTGATGGCCTTACAGAGCATGTCTTTCTTCCATAAGTAACGTTTCAAATATGTCAAGAATCTTTCCTTATAGTCTATTCTCCAGGCTAAATACACTGAATTCCTTAATTTTCTCTCCTGTGAAGTGGTTTCAAGACTCTTGACTGTTCTAGTTGCTGTTGTTGTTGTTAAGTACCGTGGAGTCGGTTCTGACTCATAGTGACCCTGTACAGGGTTTCTGAGGCTGGAAATCTTTACGGGAGCAGAACGCCTCATCTTTCTCCCCTGGAAACGCTAGTAGTTTCAAACTGCCGACCTTCAGGTTAGCAGCCCGATTCGTAACCACTTCTAGGTACATCCCTAAATATCTGCCTATTGTACGTTTTCAGTTTTCTCTGTTCAAACTGCACACATTACTTTCTCCTATGACATATTTTTTCTTTCATCAAGCCAGTTTACCCTTATTAACAACAATTGTTATTACTAAATGCTGTCGAGTTGGTTCCAACTCACAGCAACCCTGTGTAGCGTTTCTGAGGAGTGGCTGGTGGATTTGAACTGCTGACCTTGTGGTTCAAACTGACCTTGTAGTCTAGTGCTCTATCCTGCAGAGCCACACCAGTACTCCTAACAGTACTTGAATGTTTTTTTGTTTTAATTTGACAGATGATTTATTGATAATTTAATAACTCAGTGTGTGGAAGATACAGCAAACGTTACCATTATAACATACTTAATCACTATTAATTTAAAAGTTTAAACATTATTTATTAAAAGGAGCTCTGGTTAGTGTAGTGGTTACGAATTGGGCTGCGAACCTTAAGGCCAGCAGTTCGAAACTACTAGCTGCTCCGCGGGAGAAAGATGAGGCGTTCTGCTCCCGTAAAGATTTACAGCCTCGGAAACCCTGTACAGGGTTGCTATGGGTCGGAACCGACTCGACGGCACTTAACAACAAATCATTAATCAGTTTTTTTTATTTTAAATTCCCAGCAGAAGGGCCCACTCCCATCATTCTGCTCACATTTCACCATTGTGGCGATCTGAAGATGAGTGTATTTGGCATCATCTTACAGTCTCCTTCCCACTGAACAATACCAGTTTTCTTTCCTTTTGCTTTTTGTTATGATTCAAATGTACCGTTATATTTTTCTCAGATTTCTAGATTTCTGTTGGTTATTATGATTTACACAAACTGTTTCAAACTTGCTGTGGTTCCACTTACAGTAATTATTTGCCATGTGAGGAGTCAGTGTGTGTTCTGGGCATGCCCAGTCTCTGCAGTAGAGTTTTATAGAGCCTCAGTGCCTCCTACATGGGAGTATTTCCATCTTGGCTGTTGTCTGTTATTGCTAAGTGCTGTCGAGTTGGTTCCAACTCATTGTGACTCTGTCTAGAATTTCCAAGGAGCAGCTGGTGAATTTCATCCATCAACCTTGCAGTTCAAACCAACATTGCAGTCGAGTGTTTATCCTCTAGCACCACACCAGAACTCTTTGGTTATTGTATAATACTCTAAAGTGTCTCTTTTTTAATTTTAGATCTTTTGCCGAAGAACTGAGAGAAATTTGGATCTGTCCTGGAATGAGTTAAAGAAAGAAGTTACCTTAGCTGTGGAAAGTGAGGTAAGGTTTGGGTGGAGAGATGATGATAACTGATTTGGCAGCTCAGTATGGGGAGATGGTTTGGATTGTTCACTTGACTTAGTAGAAAGTAGAAACGTTTAGCCTGTTTAACTAAAGAAGCAGAGCTCCATTGTTTGGGCATTGAGAGTATTCACTTGTCTGTTGCTGTTACACCCCTGAGCCAGAATGCACCAGAACTGCCTTCTTTATCCAAGCCTTGCAGGTTTTCCACCTTTGGCAGGGTGCATTCTTACCACTTTTCTATCATTTGTTGTAGTGGAAGATATTTGCATTTTCCTTCTCTGGCAGGTTTCCATTTTATACAGGTTCCAGGGTTCACAGGTTTTATGGCAATGTTGGACAATTAAAGATCTCAAATGGTATCATGAGTTTAATTCCCCTCTGCTTTTTTTTTTTTTTCTTTTCTTTTCTCTAGCTCCAAGGAAACGTAACAGAGTATGAATTCTCACAGGAAGAGTTCCGAAATTTGCAGCAGGAATTCTGGTGCAAGTTCTATGCCTGTTGTCTTCAGTATCAAGAAGCCCTCTCTCATCCTCTTGCCATCCATCTAAATCCACACACAAACATGGTGTGCCTGCTGAAGAAGGTAGGGAGCATCACAATTCTTGTAGACACTTGAGTGTCTACATTCTTCAAAATGTTGGTCTTTGTTGTAGTTGATCTCTGGGACTTTGTATTGATCATTTTTTCTAAAATTTTAGTTCATTTGTTGTTAGTGTTTGGCATTATTAGACTTTTGCTAGTAACACAAAGTTTGGTGGTTTGAACCCACCAGCCACTCCATAGGAGAAAGATAGGCCTTCTGCTTCCCTAGAAATGTGTTTGTGAAGCCCTGGTGGGGCACTTGTGCTCTGGGCTACAGGCTCACTATGGTCACTAGGAGTCAGAGGTGGCTCCATGGCAGGAGGGAGAGGCAGTTTTTATTTTACTGTTCATTTTTTATTTTATTTATTTATTAAAGTACCTTCACACTGAGGACAAGTAAGATTAGCACAGCAGTTTCTGTATCCCCACACCAAGTTTCACCAATGCTAATATTTTTCATTGTTGTTTTTTTTTTTCTTTCTCTATAGATACTGGACCACAAGGCTGGTGTTTCAAATCCACCCACTGTTCCTCGGAAACCCTATACAGGGTTGCTATGAGTCGGAACCAACTTGATGGCATTTAAATATGTTACATAGAAAACAAAACAAAAAAACCAAACACAGTGCCATTGAGTTGATCCCAACTCATAATGGCTCTATGTAGGGTTTCTAAGACTGTAAATCTTTACAGGAACAGGCAGCTTCATCTTTTTCTCATGGAGCGATTGGTGGATTTGAACCAGTAACCTAGAGGTTACCAGCCCAACACCTAACTCACAGTGCCACCAGGGCTCCTTAGACATACGCAAATGACTTCACAAAGCTCATGGGAAATAGTCATTATCTTTTAATTCCATTTTTTCACAAAGTTTTAAAAGCCTTTCTCATACATGTTTTTTTCCTTCCTAATCATTTGAGAGTTATAGACTTCATGCTCCATGACTTTTAAATATTTCAGCATGCCTGTAAGAACAAGAGCATGCTCTTACATAAGCAAACACAGTTTAGAAGGCAGGAAACTTGATATTGATAAAATACTATATAGTAGCTGACCAGATTTTTCCATTTGTGCCCAAAATTCATGTTCCTGCTCCAGGATCCAAACCAAGATAGTATGTTTCATTGCCACATTACTGTAGCAGTTTAGTACTGGAACCATCATCCGCCTTTCTACGTCTTGTCATGTCTCGTTGACCTGTTTGTAGAGTGTCCCTTGACTTGGGTTAGTCTAATGTTTTCTTATGATGACATTGCCATCTCTAATTGGTTTATACCTTTAATAAAAACTGGGGCAAAAATGTAACTGGAAGGTTTGTGTTCCCAGGGCTACCTGTCTTTCCTCGTGCCCTCCTCCTTAGTAGATCATTTGTATCTGCTGCCTGATGAGAACCTTCTGACAGAGGATGAGACAACCATATCTGATGGTAAGAGTGACTGTTACATGCTTGTTTAAGTCTCTCCCACATCAGCCCTTGGATTTCTTTTAAGTGGATGCAAAAAACACTGGTTGCTGGTCAACAATTAATCTAAAGCCCAAGAAAAAGGGGTCAGGGGAGAGGGAAACCAGCTGATTGCAAATGAACTGTCCTGAACGGAATCCATAGAAGTGGTGACACGTGTTGAAAAACGGAACTAGTGTCATTGAACAGTTAGTGGTGTTGGTGTTGGTGGTATTAGGTGACATCAAGTCGCTTCATAGCAACCCTGTGCACAATAGAACAGAACACTGGTCCTGCACCAACCTCACAATCATTGTTAAACTTGAGCCCATCGCTACTGCCACTGTACCAATCCATCTCATTGGAGGTCTTCCTCTTTCACTGCCACTCCACTTTACCAAGCATGATGTCCTGCTCCAGGAACTGGTCTCTCCTGATAATATAGCCAAAGTATGAGAGAAGTCTGGCCATCCTGGCTTCTTTGGAACATTCTGGCTACACTTCCAACAAAGATTTGTTTATTGTTCTGGCTGTTGTTGTTAAGTGTGTTGAGTCAGTTCTGACCCATAGCGACCCTGTATTGGGTTCCCAAGGAGTGACTGGAGCTTGAACTGCCGCCCTTGCAGTGCAAATCAACTTTGCAGTCCAGCACATTAACCCACGGTGCCACACCAGGACTCCATGGGATTTTCAATATTTTTCTCTAATACAATAATTCAAATGCTTCAAATCTTCTGCAATCTTTATTCACTATCTACTTTTCACATGCATATGAGGCTACTGTAAGTACCATGGTTTGGGTCAGGCACACCTTAGTCCTCAAATTGACATCTTTGTTCTTGAACACTTTAAACAGGTCTTATGCAGCAGATTTGCAAAATGCAAAATAAAAAGGTTGCTTGATTTCTTAACTGCTGCTTCCATGAGTGTTGATAGTAGATTAAAGAAAAATGAAGTCTTAGACAACTTCAGTCTTTTCTCCATTTATCATGATGTTATTCATTGGTCCAGTAGTGAGGATTTCTGTTTTCTTTACACTGAGGTACAAGCCATACTGAAGGTTGTGGTGTTCCATCTTTATCAGTATTTATTAGTCCTCTTCCCTTCCAGCAGGTAAGGTTGTATTATCTGCATATCACAGGTTAGTAATGAGTCTTCCTCCAATTCTGATGTCACATTCCTCATACAATCCAGCTTTTTGGATTATTTGCTCAGCAAACAGATTGAATAAATATGGTGAAAGACTACAACCCTGGCCCATACCTTTCCCGATTTTAAACCATTCATTGTCGCCTTACATTCAAACTACTGCTTTTTTTTGTTGTTGTTAATGTTTTATTGTGGATTATATGATAGTTTACATGGGAGAACTTTAGTTTTACATTCATTCCATCTTATATCATCTCACTGCCATGGTTCCAATCCCCTCCATGCA